CTTCACGGATTTCTGTCAAGTGGTGCTCGTGCTTTTTGTTGACAGAGGGACTTTGGCTCTGGGCTTGCTTTTCGGCCCCTCCGTTGGGGAGCTCTTATGTCAGGATTCCCGGCGCAAGGCACTTCGGAGTCTCTTGAAGAGGTCTCGGGGCTGAGGGCTGCTTTGCTTAGATTCCCAAACCATAAAAATTGAACCAGCCCTGCAACAATCCCGGAGCAATGATGAGGCCTTCCCCAGAGCAACCCCTACAAAGGAGCCCCTTTACAGTCGGGTTTCATGGCCCATGTCGGTGGTGGCTGCACTCGTAGACACATCCTAGGAAACTTCATAGAACCCTACAAGCCCAAGGAACCATGGGCCCTTAGTATGGTCCCTTACCCTTTGTGTAAAGGGATTTCAAGGGATTCGAAGTATGGGCGGCCCTTATTACGTGTAACTTATATAAGGGTTATATAAAACACTAAACCCTAAACCTTAAACCCTAAACCCTAAACTCTAAACCCTACACCCTACACCCTACACCCTGAACCCTAAACCCTACATACTTCGGATCCCTACAAACCCAGAAGCCCCGAGCTCGGAGGAGCTGCCTGGTCGTGGTCCATGCCCTGAGTGCTGAAAAAACAACCACTTGGAGGTGCACTGGGTTTGGGGTTTAGGGTTTAGGGTTGAGGGTTTAGGGTTTAGGGTTTAGGGTGTGGGGCTTACTTGGAGGTTGTTGGATACATCCATGTAGGGATAGAAGTAGGGTGGCTGTAGCATCCTGTGAGCAGTTTGAGGTTTCCGGGACTTCGCCGAAGCGTTCCAGGGTTTTGGGGTTATGGTTGAGCCTTCGCACCCTAAACCCTAGACCCTATATGTGTGTCGAGTGGCAGACCAGAGTGGAGTGAAGAGCCTTTCTTGGAGCCGCCAGAATGGCCGCCAGAATGGCTTCAGGTTTTTAGGTCTTTAGGGCTGTTGGGCTTTAGGGTTTTTTTACGGCTTTAGGGTTTTTCGGGTTTCTAGGGTTTTAAGGGTTTTAGCGTTTCAGAGTTTTAGGGATTTTGGGCTTTTTGGGTTTCTAGAATTTAAGGTTTAGGTTTTGGGGTTTAGGGAGGGTTTCCCCGCAATTTTGCCTTTTGGAGGATGTTTTACTGTTTCGAGCTTGGGGCGAGGGATCGGGGGGAGTGCATGCAGCGCTGCGCCTCACATTTTGTTGTCAAGACAAGCACAAGACAGGTCGAAGTTCCGGCTTTAAGTCTCACAACCTGTCGTATGGTCAATGGAATTCTCCAGAATTCTCCAGACTCCAGAGGCTTTCTGGGCATGGGGTTTCTGGGAGCTTCCATGTCCTCTGTTGCGCTGTGTTGTCCCTCGGCCAGCTGACACATGGATTGTGGGATACCTTGGGATGTTCCCCCTTGTTCGATAACAGTCCTTATAGGGATTATCGTACATCCCTATCAAGGACTGTTAGCATAAGGAGGAGCATCCCCACATAAAGGGGTGCCCGTTTATGTCTGCCCAAATTCAGTCACCCCATTATAGGGCCGGCCGGCAGCAGTGCGGCGGCTGGCCGCTCTCCTGAAGATGCAGGCCGGTTTACGGTTTAGGGTTTAGGGTTTCGGGTTCCTACGGTGGATATCCCTGCCAAGGCGTGGCCAGAGGCAACCTCCATGCCCGAACGCACTCACGTGTTGCGGTCCGCGGGGTTCCAGGTTTCGTTTGGAACTGTGAGGGCGGTTTTCCCGAGACTGTTGAGAAGCTTTGCTGATGTTTGATCATTTGGCGTTTGATGCTTCTGCGACTCGGCAGCGGGGTTAGTTGTAAGCTCTTGTTTGCTGATGTTTTGTTTTTGCTTACTTGCAACTTTCTCTGTTTCAGAAGGCGGTCACTGAGGGACAAGCACAACCCAAAAAAGCAAAAACTGCTACAATAAGGCCCCAAAATGGCTCCCCCAAGAGGTGCGGTAATTTGGGAACAAATTCAAACGACATTGAGCAAGTCCTGCGTGCGTGCATGTTTGTCGTAAGATGTGGAAGAATTCGAAACTGTCGCTCTCTAAAAACTCTCTTGTGAAACGCATTGGTGCCCCCAAATGCCCGGTGGCCCTAAACCCTAACCCTAAAGCCTAAACCCTAAACCCTGACCCGAAACCCTTCAGCCAGTGGGCATTTGCACCACAGGCCGGCGAATCTTCGAGGCTTGGGATCTCTCTCTGGAGCTCCTAGGATAAGGGGATTAAAAGGGAACCCTTCTTAACCCTCTTCTGGCTCTCTCAGGGATCTTATTCAGGGGGGCTATACCTGAAGGGTCCCCCTAACTTTATGCTCGGCAGGGATAGGTGGCTCGGACTAAGCTCGCTTGTAGCATGTGCAGGAAAAACTTCTATGTAGTTTTTTTACTGAGAGAGCCCTTCGTGAACAAAACTTGGCTGGTCAAGCTGCTTCAAGATATCCTCCGTGGACTCTGGAGGCGTACTGTTCAGGGAGTTCGGCGATTGAGCATTCTTGAACGTTGATCAGGATCCTACATTCCTGTGGAACTACCGTAAAGTCTGAAGTTTCTGCAAGCCGTCCCATCTTGAGGCGCTGGTGCTTTGGAGCCTGACCTTGCCTTTGGAACTTTTAGAGGCAAAGTTAGCAGCAGGAAAGCCGCGTGCAACGACCTCTTCTGGGCACCCCGACGCCTAGAGACCCTAAGCCCCAAACCCGACGCCAAACCCCCAATGCCCGAAGCACCTTGAAGCACCCGCCATGCCTACTCGCGTTCTGGCTTCAGGCTTCAGGGCTTACAGAGGTTTGGGGTCTAGAATCAGCACAAGACTCTTCTGAAAGCCGAGACACCGTCTGCTCCTAGGCTTGCTATAAATGGAATGGGAACGGGGTGGCGCTACAAGCAAAAGAAAGGGTCATGGGCAGTGCCAGAAGCAAATGGAAGGAGTCTTGGGTGGTGCTATAAGCAGATGGAATGGGGATGTTGCGCTGCTACGAGCAAATGAGAAGCGCATGCGCGGTGCTATCAGCAAAAGGAAGGGTCTTCATACGCAGATGGGAATTGGGTGGCGCAACAAGCAAACGAGGAGGGTCATGGACGGTTTTATACGCAAACGGAAGGGGCCTTGGGCGGTGTACAAATGGAATGGGGATTGGGCAATGCTACAAGCCAGTGCGATAAGCAAGCAAATCAAAGGGGTCTGGGGCGGTGCTATAAGCAAATGAAAAAGGTCACCGGCCGTGCTACAAGCAAATAAAGGGGTCATGGGCGGTGCAAAAAGCAGATGGAAGGGTTCTTGGTCGGTGCTATAAGCAAATAAATGAATGGGAATCGAGCGGTGCTACAAGCAAATGAAAAGGGTCATGAGCGGTGCTATAAGCAAGCGGAATGGAAATTGGGCGGCGCTACAAGCATGGGCGGTGCTTTCAGCAAGTGGAAGGGGTCTTGGGCGGTGCTGAAAGCCAAGGGAATGGGAGTTTTGGCGGTGCCAGGAGCAAATGGACTTGGGCGGCGCCATACGCAAATGGAAGAGGCTTTGGGCGGTGCTATAAGCAAACGGAATTGGCCGTGGGTGGTACGTTTAGCAAACGGAATGGCAAATGGACAGGGTCTTGGGCGGCGCTTTAAGACCCCTTTCCATGTGCTCATAGCACCGCACATGACCCCCTGCCATTTGCTTTTAGCACCGCCAATGACCCTTTTCAAATTGCTTGTAGTGTCGCCAATTTTCCTTTCCATTTGCTTATAGCACCGCCCAAGACCCCTTCCATTTGCTTATAGCACCGCCCGGAACCTGCGTAGCACCACCCAATTCCCATTCCATTTGCTGATAGCACCGGCCGTGACGAATGGATAGGGTCTTGGGTGGTGCTATAAGCAAATGGAATTTGGCGGATCTACGGGCAAATGAAACAGGTCATTGGCGGTGCTATTAGCAAATGCAGGGGGTCTTGGGCGGTGCAAATGGAATGGGAATCGGGCGGTGCTACAAACAGAAATGGGTCATGGGCGGTGCTATAAGCAAATGGACTGGGAATTGGGCGGTGCCATACAAGCAAATGAAAAGGTCATGGGCGGTGCTCCAAGGAAAAGTATTGCTTGGGGCTTTGCCATTATAAGCAAATGGAATGGGAATTTTCGCGGGGCTACAAGCAAATGGAATGGGCGGTGCTACAAGCAAATGAAAAGGGTCACGGGAGGTGCCAAAAGCAAATGGACAGGGTCTTGAGCGGCGCTGTAAGCAAAAGACTTGGGCGGTGCTACAAGCAAATCAAAAGGGTTGTGGGCGGTGCCATAAGCAAATGGAAGTAAATGGAACGGGAATTGGGCGGTGCTGTACAATCAAATGAAAAGGCTTGATAGGCTTGAGGGGTCACAGGCCGCGAAACCCAAAACCCTTCTTGCTTCCAAGCCCTAGCTCTGAAACCCGTTTGTGGAATCTCCATAGACATTTTACTTCTGGTTTAGAAGCCTTATGCAACCCTCACGACAAAAGAACGACTTATACAACCCTTATAATGGAACCCTTATTATAGGACCCTTCTAAAACCCTTACCGCCCTCGTCCCCTTCTTCGCTTCCTCTCACGTGCCAGAAATTCTACTGCACCAACGGCCTGCCCTGCACGCTGATGATGCAAGGAAACGGCTTCAGGGTTGTACCTGTGTATGTATGTGTGTGTGTGTACATGCATGCAATGCCATGCAATGCAACGCAACGCAATGCCATGCAATGCAATCCAATGCAATGCATGTATGTATGTATGTGTACCTATATGCGTGCGTATGTTTCTGTATATGTACATGTATACGTATATGTATATGTACATGTATATGTATGCGTATGTGTATATGTATATGCATATATGTACACATATACGTATGTGTTTCTGTGCATGTTTTTGTATACGCATTTTGTCCGTGCGTCCTTCCGTCCGTCCGCTTGTCTGTATGTTTTGTATGAATGTGCGCGCATGTATGCACGTGTGTCTGTTATGTGTGTGTGTGTGTATGTATTTCTGTATGAATGTTTGTATGCACATGTGCATGTGCATGTGTGTGTATGAAGCCCCAAAACCGCTGCGGCTCCGAAACGCCACGCCAAAATCTGACCGGTTCTCAGGACCCCGGGCTCGAAGGTGGTAGGCCCCCGTGCCCGTCCGTCCTTATGTTCGCAGAGTTCACTGCAATGCTTCAGGCTCCAGCAGCTCTGGCCTGCGGCATCGTTCTCCTGTCCGTCCATGCCACTTGGTAGCCCAGTGGTACCCTTTACCCTTTTTTTGTTTATGGTTTCTCTTATAAAATAACCAACCTAAAACAGGGTGCCCTTTATCATAAGATGGCTAAACTGGGCTGCCAAGGCCACTTTGGCAGGCTGGGATTTGGAGGGCTTGTCTTCAGCCTGGCTGAGCTGGATCGAGAGCAGGGCGGAGAAGTTGAAGAAGCCGGAGTTGCAGGATCAGCTTATGGAAAATGCCATGAGGAAGATGCTGATGGAACACTACCAGCAAGCTGTACGATACGCGACACACTTCGCAGTCGTCGTAGTAGTGATTCACGCGTACCGCATGCAGCAGCAGCCGGACGTGGCCACAGTAGTCCAGTTTTTGGTGGTCTTCATGCAATATCTATTCGGCTGGTTGGTGGCGAGATCGCAGGTCACCTTCAACACTCTTCGACTGCTCATTCTCCTCTCACATGCTGGTCACTGCTTCTACGTCATTAACATACACATGTTTTCAGACGAAGCGGATTTTAATTTCCACTGGGCTTACTCGGGGGCCGTCCGTGTCTTTGTGGCTGCCCTCATTCACGACCCGCCGGTGTTAATCCCATGTCAGACTTTGGTTTGTCTGGTGGAAGTTGCATGTTACTTCGGCCTCGAGGGGGCACGCCGCGGTCCTCCCTGGCACTTCCTCTGTGCTCAAGTGGCAATCCTGCTCTTGACATGCGGAGTCACAATTATGGTCCAGGAGCGGTCGCGAACGAGCATCAAAGCTTCACTCCAGTCGGCCGATGCCAACCTATCTTTGCAAGGCTTCCAGCGAGTCTTGCGAAGTGTTTGCGATGCGGACGTGCTCCTGGATGATAGCTTCAGGATCGTCGGGGAGAACACTCGCTTGAGACGCGTCCTGGCGACGCCCACCGATCTTCAAGGCGTGAACTTTACCGACCTGCTCGACCAGGACGGAAAAACGGAGTTCGAGAGATTCATCCGGAAATCATGCAGTGCAAGCCAGAGTCCCCACGAGAAGGAGGATAAGGAGAAGAGTTTCAGCATTCCCCCGTGCTTGCGCGTCTCACTCCCGAGTGCGTATTCGCGGGTTGGCGTGGACATTTTCCATGTTCCTGTGCCACGCTTTTTGGATGCTGCAGGGCCCCTTCACCTTCTGGCGTTTACGGAAGATCCAGAGACTCGTTTTTTTTGTCCAATACCCAACCTTTAAGCTTCTTTGATTCTTACTGTTTGCGAAAGTTTCTAATTAGCACTTTGACAATTAACCCTTTTTTTACTTTTTGCTGGCTTATTGGGGACGAAAGGATACGAGGATACAGCCTGATGCAACACTCGGAGCAATTCCAGAAGTGCTCTCGATGTACTCCGAAGCGGAGGATCTTCAGGATCGCATGTCCACGGCTGCAGACTCGGAGGGTGGCTACTCAAAACACAGTCTGGGCAGTTCGATGCTTTGCAGGATACATCCTGTTCCCGAGTTGCGCGAACTTACGATGCTCGTGGATGCCAGTACGGACCATCAAGATGTGCTGCAAGTGCACGCCAAGTTCAAGCGAGACAAGAACCTGCCCAATGACGTTCACTCGTGCATGCCCCTCGGTAGGCCCTTGGACATTTGATCTTTTCCCTTACTGGGTTGAAGAGGGATCAGATTCAGGAACATTTTCCCTAAACCCTAAACCCTAAACCCTTTTAAGGGCCCTCCGAGGCCATGCTTGCAGACCCTGCTGAGACCATCGGATTGGCTCAGCATCCGCCGGCGCGTGGCGAAGTTTGCGCAGGAGCAGTGCCAGGTTGGCTCTCCGGAGAACTACGAGCTGCCTCCCCTGATGCTGGGAGAAATTTAAGCTACCATTATGCTTCCATCTAGCAAGGGTGGGAGAAGATGCTTCAGGCTGATTTAGGTATTACCATAATGTTACCATCTAGCAAGGGGTGGCAGAATTTCTCTACCAGAGATCCTTCTTTTTCGGGGAAGGCCTTTCTTGTAGGGGGGGGGGGGGAGAATTATCTGCCATAGATCCTTGTTTATGGGAAGAGCTTCCCTTCAACGCCTTCCTTGTGAAGTGCCAAGGATGCTCCGCAGGTTGGACGACCAAAACAAGTTCCTGGCGGCCAACACGGTGACTGTTGGGTCGGAGGGTCCTAGGGAATGAGGGAATGAGGTACCCTGTATCTCCCTATATATATATATATTCATATATATATATATAAATATATACCCTTTAAAAGGGTTGATATAGGGTTCCCTACATCCCTCTATATACACCCTTCAAGGGAATCTGCAGGGGTACCCCCCATTCATTCCCCACGAAGCAACTGCAAGGTGAACCTGGCACCATGCCGCGGCCAGGAGCAATCTAAGAAGTCTTCAATGATTCTTGGCTTTCTTCTCGGGTTTAGGGTTTAGGGTTTAGGGTTTAGGGTTTAGGGTTTTTTCTAGAGACTACGTCAAGGAGCCTAGAAGTTCAACCTTTTAGGAGGGGTTCAGAAGTCCGCCAAAGCCAAGGATTTGGGTCTACGTCCGAGATTTTGTGAACGATGAGCGCAAGCTCCGAGTGCAGCCATGTAGTGTACTGGACTCATGAGGTGTGCTCCCCTAAACCTATAGATAAACAAATATAAACATATGTGTGTATGTAAATATATCTATATATATATATATATATATATAGATACATGAATAAATGCAGAAATAAATAAATACATAAATCTTTACATAAATATATTGTTTGTTTTCAAGCCTAAGCCCTAAAGCCTACAAAGCCTACAAGCCCCTCTTGATGTCGGCAGAGCTCCCGCCGTAAGAGAGCGGAGACATCTCGCCAAGGCGCGTCCTCGTCCTAGGGTTCAGGGTTACCATAGCTACTCTTTGCTTAAGAGCCCCAAAAGAGCAAAAAAAAAAAAAAATAAATATATATATATATATATATATCCCTATATTTACCCTTAATTCATAAGGAAGAGGTTTTCTTCAGGGTTCTTAAGCAATTAGTAGATAGGGTCACTATAGAAGGGCGATACTAGCAGGGTTGCTAGAAGTGATCGGTTGAAGAAGGAGTGTCTCACCTGGCGGAAGTTGGCCGTCTAGTGTTTTAATGGAAGTTAGCTTACGTGAGCTGGCGTGAAGATCCCACATTTTCTGGGTACAAGCTCGGCATCTTTGCCACAATGGCGTGTTCGATGGTATCTGCCCAGCAGTTCCGAAACCCGACGGCAGGTTCTGCATGCCGCAAGAGATGAAAAAGCAAGCTTTCCCGACCGGGGTGGGTGAGGTGCAGGGTTTGGGGTTTGAGGTTTAGTGCTATCATTGAATGCTTGAAGCTGAGACCCCAAAGCCTAGAAAAACTCCCTTGACCTAAACACTCACAGACCCTGAATAGAACCCTTGTAAGACTCGTCTCAAGCCCCTATAAGCCCTTCAAGGATTCGGCGTTTGAGCGCCTATCTCTTTTTAGGGCTTTCGGATCTAGGGTTTTGGGCGTTTAGGGTTTAGGGTGCTTTGGGGGTTTAAACCAACTAAGGTCGTGAGCTCTGGTTCGGGGTTTGGGGTTTTGGAGCTCAGAGATGGAGCCCTAAACCCGAAACCCTAAACCCTAAACCCTAAACCCTAAACCCTAAACCCTAAACCCTAAAACCCTAAAACCCTAAACCCTAAAACCCTAAACCCTAAACCCTAAAACCCTAAACCCTAAAACCCTGAACCCTAAACCCCAAAGCTTATATCGCAGCCAGGAGCCCCCTGGCTTCTGATTGCGAGGCCTGGTTCCTGGCATGCTCCTAAAATTCTCGAAACCCTAAACCCTAAACCCTAAACCCTAAACCCTAAACCCTAAACCCTAAACACTACTGTTTGCCTAAGAGCCCCAAAAGAATGCCCAGGGACTCCAAGACGCCTTAATTAAGGAATAGACCTTAGATCATGTTAGGCTTTCCTATTCTAACTTTGGGTATATTCCTGAATGAAGGGGTCTTGGAGTCTCTGGGTGTTTGCTTAAGAGCCCCAAAAGAATGGAAAAGAAGAATGTCCATATGACCCTGAAGAGCCCCCGAAAGAATAGAAGAGAACAATCCCGATATTACCCTTATAGGGAAGAATATGTTTTAGTTTTTTCGGGGGCTCTTATCTTAAGCAATCAGTAGCTATTTTGGTATATGTCAGTATAGCCCAGGCATAGTACAGTGTGCTGGGCCGCCTTTAAGTGCTGCTTGGTAGGATTGCCTGGCCTTCTCCCGCGACTACTTCACAGCAGCTACGGTCTGCGGAACAGATTGCGCCTCGGTAGAAGGCCCTAAACCCTACAAACCCTCAACGCTTGCCGGGGAGCTTCAGAGCAGATGTTGTTTGAACCTGTTTCAGCTGCAGGTTGCCACACGTTCGTTTCGGGTTCTAGAAAGGTTGAGGTTTACGGCTTTACAGTTTTGAGGGGCTCAATTGTTTATGGTTGAGATGATCCTGTAGTTGTGAGAGTTCTTAGTGGCTGTGACAGGCTGAATATGTTGGGCCAAGAGCGGCTTCCTTTTCTGCACGTGTTTTGACCCTTGGGATCCTTGGGGTTAGGGTCTAGTTGGGGCTTAGGATCTAGTGCTTTAGTGTTTCAACCCCAAACCCTGCCTAAACCCCTAAACCCTCAACCCTAAACCCTAAACCCTACACCTCAAAACCCTAAACCCTAAACCCTAAACCCTAAACCCTAAACCCTAAACCCTAAACCCTAAACCCTAAACCCTAAACCCTAAACCCTAAACCCTAAACCCTAAACCCTAAACCCTAAACCCTAAACCCTAAACCCTAAACCCTCACCCGCCATGTTGCAGGCCTGGAAGATCCGTTTCCAGCGGCCAGGCGCCGGCGTGAGAGCTTCAGAGAAGCCGGGACTCCAACACACACCTTAGAAGTACAGGTTTAGGTTTAGGGTTTAGGGTTTAGGGTTTTTTCAAACCATACTTCTTGGCGAGCTTCTGGCTCTTAGGACTTCAACTTTTTGGTTTTTGTAGAAACTACAAAAAGGAGCCTAACAGTTAAACTTATAAGTAATCTAGGGGTACCCCTTTTTCCCTTTTTGTTTGTTTATGGTTCCCTTATAGCCAACACAAAAGATGGGTGCCCCTAGTACTTTCTTGGCAGGCCAGTGGCACCCTTTTCCCTTTTGCTTTATTGGTTTCCCTTATAAAGCAACCAACCAAAAAAGGGTGCCCTTATCATTATATGGTTACTGGGCTACCAAGATATGTAATCTAGGGGTCGGAATGATTACTAGTAGTATTCCCTTATGGTCCCGTTATCATTTTTCCACAACAGCCCTCCCAAACCCTATTCTAATGATCCAGGCCCCTATGTCAAGAGGCTCTTTCCCCCATTCAACAAAAAGGGCCCAGCTCTGGCGTGAGAGAGATGAATGGTACGTCTTAAAGGTACAGATGACACGCGATAAGGGGAAAACCACTGTCCTAAAGGCCCAACCATTGAGGCAGTAAGTTCATGAGTCTTCTTAATGGTGGTTCTTGGTCTTCCAGAAGCCTCAATGGATGGGTGATTCAGAGAGCGGTTAACCTTTTTTTTGCCCTTATCACATGTTAAGGCCTCATGAACACGGTCTAACAGAGGTTGGGTCTCAAGGTGGTTTAGCTCACACAATCTGCAAGCCCTAGATGCCCAAGGAGTTATGCTCTGCATGTCTCGATTGAGCGGCCCAAAGGGCTCCGTTCCTGAAGCGAATTCGATGGCCACAGAGCCATCCACCACGGCCACGGGCAAAAATGACCGCTCTTGAGAATTCCCGGAAGCTTCCACGGCGCAGGGGTCTCCTAGTCCGCAGAGGGGCCTTACACATCACCTCTCTAAATGAAATGTTTGCAGAGTTGCAATTGTGGTTGCCGATGACGTTGTGCTGCGGTAGTTGTGTGTGTTATGCAGGTTTAGACGTCCTTAAGGGGTTCTTAGCAGATCAAGGGGTCCGGGGGAACAGGGGGGGGGTCTGGCAGGTCCAGAGAGTACGCTAGTTTTAGAACTGGCCGTTGTAGATTCGGATACCACGAATAAAGATGTCGTCCGACACAAGGGCGCGAAGAAAGGCTCCATAGGAATGGATTTGTTAACCACATGTCTGTTTCACGTGATTGAAAGGACCAAATTCAAAGGAACGAATTGGTACGAAATTCGTGCGTCACTGCGTTCATTACAATTTAGTGTTTTTTCTGTTTTTTCTCTTTC